ATTCTTGCATCTTCTTTCTTTCCACATCAGCCATCCGTTTTCCATGGCCCAGAAATAACCATGCACAAGGACGCGCTACACCACGGGGACTGGGAACACCGCGATATTCATAATATCTACGGCTTCTACCAGCACATGGCTACAGCGCAGGGCCAGATTGACCGCTCCGGGGGTAGGGAGAGGCCGTTTGTTCTCTCAAGAGCATTTTTCGCGGGCACGCAGAGAAACGGTAAGTAATGAAAGGCAAAAAAGCAACTGATCAGAAAACGATCTCGTTTTGTGCACAAAACCTGTGTCTGAATTGACTTGATTTCGTTCACCCCCTCGCCCCTCTCCCCCTTCCCAGATTGGTAGATATATAAACAGACAAATCCATCATTGTAGGCGTCGAGACATTTTTAACCAGTTTATATCACGGTGCTGACAAGTTAGTTAGTGCATCTGACGCAATAAAATCTCTAGTTTAAGAGCTATTCGTTATCTAAGCAGTGATGATGTTGCGAATAATTTGTTTCGCTTGTGCAAACTAAGCGTTTTGTAACTGATCCTTGGGTTTCAGGTCCCATCTGGACGGGTGATAACACAGCGGACTGGGGACACCTGAAGGCATCTCTTCCCATGATTCTCACGCTTAATCTGGTTGGGCTACCGTTTTCTGGAGGTGAGGTACTTTTCAATCAACTTTAGTGAATGCTTGCCCTTTGATGGCAATACAGAAAAATAGATTACTTCTTATACGGCACCAGAAACTGCAGTAATCTAGAAGATCATCATGCGAGTGAGAACTTTCATTAATTCAACTAGGTTGGGTTGTTTAAGGGCTAGAAAATTCCTCCCGTCAGGAAAACGGCTTTCCAGTGGATAACGTTGTCTTCATGGATAGCACTATCATCTTTGCTGTGGACCTAAAATCGAGGGAAGGAAATGAATTGCCGTAAAATAATTGCAGTTCACAGACACCAAATGTTAGGAAGCAGTATTGAATCAATTATTTAGTGTTAGTACAAGATTCGAGTCAGCTATCCAGATTGTTGGTTTGCAATATAGGCATGCGGTGCGTGCAGAGAGCAATGTGGCTTTTTAGATATGTAGCTGTAGAACTTAACTTGTTACCGAATCATTTGGAAGTTCTAAATGTGACACGATCCTAGTTTAATGGCCTTACCTTTAATTTCACGAGTCTTCTGTTACTCAGTGGTGGAGCATCTGGGCAAGGAACCAGAAGGTCTCGGGTTAGACCCCCTGTGTCAGGCACACAGTATCCCTGTGTGACTGACAGAACTTCTCGTAAATCTACCGGGCGTTAAGCCCATTACCGTTTATTGGCATCAGAAAATAAGTTATTTCTTCCGTGCTTTCAGCTGATGTTGGTGGATTCTTCCTCAATCCTGACTCGGAGTTGTTGGTCAGATGGTATCAGGTGAGTCCAGTTTCTTCCTGGATGTGTTCTGTTTGGACTTACCGTCTTCTGGTGGTTGGTTGTTGTCACCGTTGTTGTTCCTTTTCAACTTAGGACGGTTGGAAAATAGTCAGACTTTCACCAAATCAAATAAACTCGCTTGTGGTTGAAATGATTGGTGCCAGTACAACATGATTTACGTATAGCTGTTGGACAAATAATTTTTAAGAATTTATCGGTTGGTTATTGGTTTTGGCGACACTTAATTTTTCCAAATGTAGAAGATTTGTTAACTACTGTTTTATCAAATAAACCAATTGCTTTTTTTTGCCACATGAAAAACCCGAAAACTTTGACCTCGCGAGAATTTCATGTAATAAGAAAGCTGACTAATGAACGAACGATTGAACGAACTTTGACGCTAATGTGCGTAAACTATGACAACATCTATTTACTGGATCAAAAAACATGTATATTGGATGGCAGCCCCAGCATCCATGTTTTAGAAAGCTCGATAGATTACGCCATCTTATTTGTGCTTTAAAAGCCAACCTGAAGTGATTATTTTGTTTTGGGTCACGAGACACTACAAAACCCTCTCTAACAGCTTGTCTTTCGCTGGAACTTTTTTAGGCTGCTGCCTTCCTCCCATTTTTTCGCGCTCATGCTCATTTGGACACCAAGCGTCGTGAACCCTGGCTGTACGAGGAAAATCACAAGAACTTTATTAGAGAGGCTGTACGTCTGTGATACTCCATGTTGCCCTATTGGTACACGTTGTTTTATCACGCTTCTGAGACAGGAACACCGATAGTAAGGTCAGGGATGAAAGATTTTCTCTTTAACAAATTGACGTCAGGTTTTTATGCGTCTGTCCTCTTATTGATGATAAATTGCGTCATAACATTGTCAAAGTGACGAAATTTATCATCAATAAGAGGACAGACGCATAAAAAACTGACGTCAATTTGTTTTTTACAATAACAAGACCCCAAAATGGTAAAATACCGTGAATAAATGAGGGGACAAGACGCCGTAAACTTGCCGTAAACAAAGATAAGTGAATTTTATTCAAAATGACGCGAACATTCTCAATATCTTTTCTCGCTTTTTGCTTGGCTAATCAAAAAAGTCCATAAAATCTCATTGGTTAAGAAGTTGACAGTTTGACAGCCGAAAGTTGAACTTGAAACCTTGTATAAATTAAAAGTTTATCCGTCTGTATTCTTATTGATGATAAAAATAAGCCAATCAGAGCGCGAGAAACTAGATAGTTTTTGTAAAATTATCTTTTGCTGCTCATGAACAGCGTATCTATTAACAGAAATATGTACTTGTTAAGGCTGATTTTGCACACTACGGTTTTGGCGGTCCAATTTTCCTCAAATTTGATAGGAAAGTGCTCGCGGGGGTAACATGAGCCAGCGTAGCAAGCATCCCCGCACGAAAAGCGTTTTTTCCACATTCTGGCCGTGTGTAAATTGGAGCGAGAGCAAACTAAATCGACACAGGGTAGGGCAACATTCGGTCGATTTATAAAGGTCTGTGGTTTACAACTGTACAATAGATTTTACAAATAGAGCCGATTTTCAAAAGCCTGTACGAAAGTTATTACAAATTGGGCCGACATTCAAAAATCTTTGCATGGCATTCTCTGACTTTTGCACATTGTGTCGATATGTTCCGTGCACGTGATTCAGATCGTGTTGTGTAAATTGGCTATTTTAATCGTAGCCTGTAAATTAACCTTTAGACATCTTAGTTTGTAGCATCGCCATGCATTTTTTACGAGTCCGGGTCTCCAGGGAGATTCAGGATACAAATGTACATTGACACTACACACTGAAATGTTTAACAGGTTAGAGCTGCCAGCACAACAGGGACTTGGTCAACGCTTCAATCCTGGCGGTCGCTCTATTAAAAGGGCTTCGCATTGATCACTCTGCCATTGCGTCTCCTATACAATTGTACTGATCTCAGGAAAATTCTTGTTGTTTCAGGCCCTTGTGGGTGGAATACCCACAAGAGAAAAATACCTTTGCGATGGAAGATGAGTTTTTACTTGGTAAGTGCAATGCTCTCTCCCCTTGTAGGGAGTTCATGTGTTGCTGTGGTGTGAGGTCGGCCGTGCTCTTCTAACAAGCCATATTTTAAAATCCATTTTTAGGAAGAAATCTTCTCGTTAAACCAGTGACCACCCAGGGACAAAACTCCATTGATGTTTACCTCCCAGGCAAGGACGAGGTAGGTAGCTGTTATTTGCGGGTTAGGTTACTTGTTAACTGCAAATAAATGTATCGACTGTTTCGGTCTTCTGTTCAAAAGAGCAATTCTCCTGACGGATAGCCATCCATTCCTTTTGCAGTTTGTTTTGAGAATTAAAAAGATCTACTTTTTTCTCAGGAAGAGGGAAAATATTGTTCAAGAGCTCAGTAGACAGCAAGTCACTCTGAAGTATCGCCAGTTGAGATACGAAAACTAGCTAGTAAAATAGAATAAAAAAAGCGACCTAAAGAGACTGAAAAAGGTTGAAATGTTTGCTTTAATTTCAGTTTTGGTACGACTTATATGATTTCAAGATCTACCGAGGAGAGAATACAATTTATGTGCCCACCCCTCTCGAGAAGGTAATGTAACTAAACACGAGCGTAGACTTGACTGTGATTTCACTCGCGCGCGTGTCTTGTCTATCTTACAAACAAATCGCGCGCGTGTCTTGCAAATCAACAAAAAAATTAAGTCATTGAAGTAATTGAAGAACACCATAACGAGCCGTGACTGTACGGAAACGAAAAGTTATTTCAAACGTCATAAATGGGATTGAAACCCTTCCTGCGTTCCAAAGAGGTATGAAAAAAAACTTGAGAAAAGAGAGAATATGAAAGAAAATATATAATTGGAGTTGACCGTTTTTCTTTGGGCTGAATTTTAAAATCGGGTACCATTCAAGTTGCGCGTCAAAGTCCTCTTTACTACTTACGACTCGAACGATTTTGCGAAAACGACAATTTCATCTCTCTGGTATGCCATGTGTCATTTTTTTTTATTTATTTATTTTTTTGTTTTCTTCCAGATTCCCTTGTTTCAGCGTGGTGGAAGTATCATTGCAACCAAACAGAGAATTCGTCGGTGCAGTGCTCTTATGCACAATGATCCTTACACTTTGACGCTGGCCTTGAACCCCAATGTAAGGACAGATTTATTTACCGTGTATTTTAAGCATGTTGCACAAGCACTTTGTCACTGATAAACTAACAAACAAACCAACAAATCGAGGTCTATCAATAGTCAATCACAGTCTGCTAGAAGCTATGTCTAAATAAAATAATCATTTAAAATGCGGCTACATTCATCAACCAGGATCACTTAAACAACGCTAAATTTAGCTTAGGAGAAAGTAACAAAGAAGGTGGCAATAATGAGTCACATGGGCACAGGGGTTGAGATTGGTCCGAAGCTAGTGTATTTTTCAACAAACACCATCTTGTACCGCCTTGTCTTGCGTTTGAAATTTGGTGAGTCATGTGGCAAGATTTCCGCACAACCTGGTAGCTAATTAAAAATAATAACAATAATAATAATAATAATAATAATAATAATAATA